CAGGAGGAAAGCTGTCTGTAAATAGAGGTGTAAAAGCTGGGGAAGTTGACTGCCTGCCTGCTGCCTGTTGCGCTCTGCTCTGTCTCCAGTTTGCTTTTAAAGGAGTATGCACGGGGCAGTCACATAGACATATATTTTTAGGTTCCAGAAAGTTCCACGGGAGCATGCTTGTGCTTAACCGAGTCAGAACTTTGGAGGTTAGCTTATTTAGAATTAATAGCGAGTCCTTAGGGAGCTAAGAAGGTATTATGATTTCTAATCAGGCCCAGAGCTGGGCCAAGGATAGGCTTTCTAGATGGAAAAGGAAAAAAAAAAGCACGAAACACCCTGGTTAATCAGAACAGTGGCTTTTTGTGTGAGGATTTGAGGCAAAGAGGTCTTATTTTCAAATCCACATAGGGAAGTTAGTTGGAGTTTCTCAGAGCTGAGGCGAAAGGGACATTACTTTATAAACTTTAGGAGTCTCTGAGGGAGGACAAAAGGACCTCAGAGATTTCAGAACTTTTATTTTTTCTCCCAGGTTTTGTAGCAAACAGAATGGAATTTGAGCCCGAAGGCATTTGTATTTTTAAACTAAGCAGTCCAAGGATTCTTAAGGACTGGCACGGTGTTAAAATGCTTCTTGTTGCTTGTTAGGTGGGTGCATGCCTGTAATCCCAACACTCTAGAGGTCTAGAGGCTGAGGCAGTAGGATTGCAGTGAGTTTGAGGCCAGCTTGGATTATATAGCATACATACCGTGCCTCATAATAAGTAAATAAACAAAAGTCTTGCCATTGAAATCTCTGTGTTTAGATAAAATGGATAATCATGTGTAGTGATGAGCGTTTTCAAAGTCCCCAGACACTGGGACACCCATCTTCGATGACAATGAAAGCAAACAGCCTAAATAAACAGAGGGGACCAGGTGGCAGGCCAAGGACATTTTCTGCAGGGGATAGTTGATGCCTTTCTGGCTAAGAATTTACTCACTTAAAAATGCTTAAGGAGGAGACAGCTAGCCTACCCTCCCCCAGGCTCCACTTTTATTTTTATTTTTAATAAGCACGTCCCAGGAGTTGTGAAATATTGTGGGCACAGTTTTGCAGAGAACAAGTAGGTGGGACGTGGACAGTGTTTGATTCTGTAGCCCACAGCTGGGAGAGATGGAGGCTGTCTGGGGTAGCCTTGAATTGCTACTGGTCGAGCCCTGGGCAGCACAGGAAGCTGAGTTTGAAGGTTGTGCCCACTGGATCTTCTAGTTTTCTTGTTGGTTCTGACATTCTGGAGGGTGATATATAGGAAGAACCCAAGCTCTCATAGAGTCGTCTTGGGAACTCTGGACCTCCCATTGTCTTGCCCAGGTCCTAAGCTGGTGGGAATGCAGTCTCTGGTGATATCCTGCCAGCTGGCAGCCTTTGTGTGGTACAGGGATGGCAAGATCTCTTCACTACATGCAGACTCTGCTCCCTTGGGCTCCTGAGCACAATGGCTCTGATCCGGTTTCTGGATGGGCCATTCCTTTAAGTCTGGTGAGTGCTCACAGTGAAGGAGGCCCTCTCTTGTGTTGGTGGAAAGTTCAACCAAGATCCCCTGGGATAGGTGGCCTGTATCGGAATCAGGGTGTGGATTTTTCTCTCTGTATTTATTATTTTTTGAGTTCTCAAATAATTCAAAGCAGTTCCTTACTTATATGAATTAAGGTCACTCAGGGCCACAGCAAATGTGTGGTCAAGATAGGATTTGTTTCCCATTGGCTCAGTGCTGGGGGATGGGAGTCCCTTTCTGCACTCAAGACTAGTATTTGGCCATGGAGAGCTGCCTGGGTGGATGTCACCGGGTTGGGCATGAGTTTTAAGTAGACTTACTAGAGGATTTGGTTCATCGGCAACCCTGCAGCCATCACCTCCTTGGTGGGTAGTTGCTTCACAGTTCTGCAGAGGTGGCCAGACTGGCCCTAGTCAGCAGCACCCTCTGTGTAGACTCTCCAGCCAAAGGGAAACCCTGTGCCTGCAGCACAGGACCCAAGTGGGAGCCACTGAGCTGGAGTGTGGACAAGGTGCAGCCCGTGCCCGCTTCCGTTTCCATCCCTCTGTCTTGTCACCTGCCCTGACCTGTTTCCAAAAGCGTAGATAGTGAAGACAGCTGGGCAAATGTCACCTCCTGGTTTGAGCCCACGCTCTCTCCGGGAAGTTCCATGTGGGACACAGGTCATATGTTGTGGGAAATCTGTGAAGGAAGTGGAGGCAGTGGTCTGCCAGGCCCAGATGACCTCTTAAACAAGCAGCTTCTGGGACTACATTAGCTTGTCTGACTTCTGTGGGGCAGCAAGCGTTTGTCGGGGGGATCCTGGGCCAGGCCTTCTCAACTGTGTGGCACCTCTGTCTTTAAACCTTCGTTGTCCCAAAGCCATCGCGCTTCTCTAAACCTGTGCTGGCATAGACTGGCTAAAGCCAGATGTCCTTGTCCATAGGTCAAGGTCATCTCTGGTCTCTGCTCTCCTCCATGAAGACAGTGACTCACCTCTCAGCAAGGCCTCTGTGTTGTCCCTCATCTGTCTCCCTTCTCCTGAAGGTTCCCCACCTTCCTACTGAACCCATGCCTGGGAGGGTGGCAAGCCTTTGTGCCATCCTGATGGCCTTGTTTAGATGGTGGGTCCTGGTGGGGTATGGGGGTTGGGTGGGAGTGGTCCTGGTTTGACATCTTCACCGGCTCCAGAGTGGTGCCTCTGAGAAGATCAGCTGAATGAGCTGGAATGAGCTGGAAAAGGAGTGCAGCTCAGTGTTGCCCAGGCTGCTGACCTCCCTGGAGCATGGCCTTGTCAGGTCCCTGTGCTCCATTGGTGGGACAAAGGTGAATGTGACCTGATGGGGAGGAGATGGGCAGCAACGTGGACAGTTTTGCGGCGCATAGCGGGACAGAACCAGGCTGAGAAGGATCTTCTGCTCTCCGATGGGATGTGGCGAACATGTTGAGGCAATTTGGGGAGCCTTAGCCAGACACCTGAACACACTTGGCACTCTCTCGAAGGATCTTTCTGGGGATAAGGACATATGGATCGCAGCCCAAACCACCACCCCATGGAGACTCTAAATTTGGATGCTTCTAATTCTGGTGCTGTCCCGGCATGCTAGGGAGCTTAGGCGAGCCATTTGAAAACAGCTGGATACCGCAGGCTGCTCGCAGCAGCTGGGTGTGATCCAGGACATTTTATGAAGAGCAGTGAACCTTAGAGGCGAGAGGCATATCTCTGAGAATAACTTCTACTTCACAGAGAGGACTCCCGGGCCACTGGGACTGGGAGGCATGGCTGAACTTGATAGGCTGTGAACCTATGGGAGAGCTGGACAGATGTGGGTGATGTCTGTGTGTAGATAATGGGCAAAGTCCCTGGCAGACAAGACTGGATGAACTAAGAGAGTCAGTCTTGGGAAGAGGGAGCCCAGACAGGTAAATCTCTGGTCCCAGAAAAGTGGAGCAGGGACCTTTGATGGTCAGGGGCTCATTCCTCCCTCTGTTAAAATTTGCATAATTTTGATGTAAACTTGCCAATCATTTAGGCAGGTTTTTTTTGTTTTGTTTTTGTTTTTTTTTTCTGGAGTAAAAATGCCAAGGCTGCCTCTGCATTTGCCTTCTCTTTACTTTCCCCGCCCATCATCTTCTCCTCATTGTAGATCTTTGTCCGTGTGTCTTTATAGGCATGCATTTGCATATAAACCGCTCTTGATTTTGCCTTTTCTCTGACATCAGTGGGATTGTTGCAAGCTGCTGCGCATCTGCTTCTTCTTGCCTTTCCCTCAACAGCGTGCGCGAGCCATTTACTGCCCTTGTTCTTAAAAGTAGCCTGCCTCCCCTCCTCCCTCTCCCCCTCCCCCTTTACAGCTGTGTTGTATTCCAAACAGTGGATGCACCACGACGCTTTATTGCACTAGTCTGCTAGTGTTGAACATTTATGCTGTCGGCAGTTTTGGCTGGTAAGCAAATTTGGCTTTAGTAGATACCTAAGGTGTATATTTGTGGACACGCGGGTATCTCAAGAAGATGTTTATGAACTTGTAAAATCATAGAATAAAATCGCCATTTCAAGGCTCTGCTCCTCCCTACCCAGATGTGGTACACTGGAACTGGGAAAGCATCAGAATTGGGTCTCATCCTGGCCTTCCCAGGGGTGGACTTTGAGGGAACAAAACGTGAGACCGTGTGCAGGGGTACCTGACAAATTGCTCTTAGTTTCTGACCTAAAGACTGCAGGGAAGGAAACAGGGTTGATTGCCGCGGCAGGTGACTGGGCAGGATGGGGAAACCGAGCAGTCATGATGACCAGGAGACATTAATTCTGGACACAAACCCCTGCCCATCCAGAGCTGTGTGGAATGTAGCGTTCTTTATGAACTGCCCGGGAATCCCCTGTGTCCGCTCCAGGGAGTCCAGGTCCCCATGCAGGGCTCTCTGGGAGGTCGTTTTCCTCCCACTAGCCTTCACTTTCAGATTGCTCGGAGAGCTTGTCCAGGACAATTGGAGTCCAAGGACTGTGGGCGGATGCCATTTTGTTTACCGTGTCCTGATTCTGCTTCTGTCAAAAACGCTGAAGGTCATTTGCTGAGGATTAAGCCAGAAATGGAGGAGGGCTCTTTGCTTCAGTGATGGGCAGGTATTACTAGTGTTAGGAGGGCACACTCCTGATGTCCTGCTAAGGGGCTGTGGCTGCAGACCACACCCACGTGACATGCAGTTTTTGTTGTTCCCAAGCAGATGGATTGTCTAGTTATTATTTTCTTTCTAGAATCAGTCTTATTTGTTGCAAGATGTCCAGATGATGAAGGCCAGGCTGTGGGTGACCCTTTGGTATCTTTGTTTTTGTTTTAGTCACCTGTTGGAAGCAGAGTGGGTCCGGTTGCTGCCTTTTGTCTGGTTTCCAGGAGCCTTCTCTGGCAAGGAGGAGACATCCAGTCAGGGGCCAGGGGAAGGTAGGGGTGGTCAGGATGAGACTCTCTAGCTTCGACTGGCTGGGATGTGTGCTGCCCACAATAGGTGACTGTTAGTCACAGTGCCTGGAGGGGTCACCTGCTTCAGCTCTGTCCTTCAGAATGGTACCCTAACAGCTTTGCCCCTACGTGAGACTCTTCCACTGTGCCAAGGAGCCTCAGAAGTAGGGACACACTGGGAGGTGTGGTTGGGACTCTGTGCCTGCCCAAGAAATACTGCTGCGTCTCTGGAGCCCAATGATCATGAAACCAAGGATCTTTTCCCAAAGGTAAAAGCCAGAAGCCAAAGGGCTGGGTGGAGGCCCTCCAGTCTATGCTACTGTCCTCTGCTATTCTAAAAGCCCAGCAAAGCCAAGATTAGCAAAGGCACCTGAGAGCCAGACAGTTAATTCTGCAGGGACAGTGGAGGAATACAGAAGGCAGACACCGTCTCCTGTCCCTTGTGTTCCATGGGGCCTTTGTGGACCATTGCCAGCACTACACATGCCTGGGCACTGGAGGCAAGGGAGGTTGGAAGCAGGGGCTGCCTCCTGATGTGGAGAGGGAAGTGGGACAGGTTCAGATCCAAGGTCAAGTCATCTAGGCTTGAAGCCAGTTCTTTGGGATTTTCAGCCTCCGTGACTGTGATTACTCAAACCACAGGCTGGATCAGTAGGTCAAGGAAGAGCCCACACCACTGTCAGCCGAGCATTCCCTTGGTGCCCATGGCCTTCTTTCCTTTTGCTTGTGGGCCTGGGAATATTTTTTTCCAATCCCTGATGCTCTCTAGAGACTCTGGGTCAGAGGAGACTGAGAGGGCTCTTGTCTAGACTGTGTCTCTTGTAGTCCAGACTGGCCTCCAACTTCTTATATAGTGGAGGCTAACCTTGAACTCTGGATCTTCTTGTTTCCATCTCCTGAGTGCTGGGGTTATAGCTGTGCACCCCCATTGTCTTATTTTAATAAAACCGAGTGAAAAGAAAATAGATCTTGGCTCTGGAGTCGTGAAGGATGCAATTCTTGGTCGTTCCTTCCAAGTAAGAAATTCAGAGGACAGAGCCAGCAGGGTGTGTGTGTGTGTGTGTGTGTGTGTGTGTGTGTGTGTAAAACAGTTCTAAATCACCTGGGACTCACCCTCTATCATAGGCCAGTCTAACAGGTCACAGAGAACCCGTCCTTTGGAACATGCTCTCCGCAGCCCCGACTGCTCTTCTGAAGCTCTCAGAGCTGTGTCGTAGGTCAGAACCAGCATCTCCTAAACTGCATGGGCTCTGGGTCCACCTGCCAGGATATCTCTGAGGACCATCGTCCACTCCATCCATGGGAGATGCTCTGAATAGGAAGGATGAAGCTCCCCATGCAGAAGGCAAGACCTTCCATCAGCAGCTGAGGATATGGAATCTAGTTAGGTGGCCAGGAAGGAAGCCCCCTCTGAGCCTTCAGGCCGTCTCCCTTAACTGGGGTTCAGGGGCAAATAATCTGCTGTGGGCTGGGGGTGTGGTGTGATCCTAGGTGGTATCAGAAGTCGTTTCTTTTCAAGATTCCTTTCCCCGTGTCCTGAAGGAGAAAGCCCTTTGACTTGCTTTTGCCTGCAAGCTCTGGACTTTGCCTCTGCTGGGGACTTAGTATTCCTAAGAGTGCACTGCCAGCATTCAAGCTAGTGAGGACCGGCTGTAGTGAGGGATAACTTCCTTCTGGAGAGTCCTGTGTCCTGGCAGGTGCTGGGGTGAGGTTTTGTGGAGCACAGGTGGGTTCTCAGATTCTGTGTTGTGCCCTTCTGCCCTGGGACAGCAGACACAGGTGGTTAAATCTTAGTTTAGATATGATTGAGAAGCCATAATTCTAACCCAGGTATGTCCAATCGTGGATCTGGTGGTTTTTCATACCTTGAAGTCAGCCACCTGGGCACCAGCCCACAAATTGCTGTCCCATGGGAATTCTCATGTGTCTCTTAAAGGCCACCGCAAGTGAACCTGAAAGACAAGCTTGCTTGTGTCAGTTATCACCAGTGACTGGATGCCTCTTCTTTCTGGTCCTGCAGTGTAGCTTAGCTGTGATGACATGGTCGATTGTCCCAGAACCATGAACAGATGGTCAATAGAAAACAGCTCCCGGCAGTTCCTACAGTGTCTGTGGAGAAATCACCACAGGCATAGTGCTACCCTGGGGTCATATTCTCACAAGGTGTGACATGGTGACAGCTAAGAGTTTTACCCTCCAGTCAGACAGGTCAGTGAGCTCATCAGCCCTCCAGATACACAGCAGGTGGCTGGTGGCTTATGTGTTTTGGGTCTTGGCACATAGTGCTCCTGAGTCTATAGAGCAAGGAAGAAATGGAAAACCAGGCAAATACTGAGCGCTTGAAGCAGCTGGCTGCTTGCCCTTGGCTGAAAACTCCCAGCAAACCCAGAATCTGGAAGTCTGGGATACAATAAGATGGCAGGGCATTCCATACATGCTGGCTATGTTTCCTGTGGCCTTCATGACTGTTAGTTGAGGGCAGGGGAGGACTCAGGGAGGGTCCAGGTTAGCAGATGGTTATTGCAAAAAGGCTAAAAAGAGAGTCTTATTTTAAATGCAATTTGCAAGAGAATTTAAAGTGCTTTCATTAAGACACCAAAGCAACACACTTGTAATTTTCATGCCAGGAGCAAATCAACCCTGCCAGTCTCGGGGATGTCAGTAAAATGGTTCTTGTGGGCTCCTGCTGAGCACAGGCAGGCCGTCAGCATTGCTGTGGCCAGGGCTCCACTGTCTGACATTTCTTTGGCCCCTCTATCATGTTGATTTCACACCCAGGACACAGCCAAGCTGATGCCTCCATAACACAGCCGTGGAAATGCACAGAAAACAAGCCCGGCCTCTCTCTCTGGCCTCATGTAGCTGTAGCTGGCGTGTGTTTGATTTTGCTTCTTTCAGACCGCGAAGGTTATTTTCTTTCCCCCTTTCTTTCTGAAGACATCCTAAAGCAAAAGCCAAGCAGATGAGCATGCTTAGGACCCCAGACGAATGTTTTGACCGAGCCCCGAGGTTTTCCTTGTGAAATGATCTTGTCTCTCTGTCTGTCCAGTTTCCTTTGCTGTAGGTCCTTCGGTGGCTCTCTTCCAGACCATGGATGTGCATCTGTTTGACTACGCGGAGCCTGGGAACTACTCCGACATCAACTGGCCCTGCAACAGCAGTGACTGCATTGTGGTGGACACGGTGCAGTGCCCCACCATGCCCAACAAGAGCGTGCTGCTGTACACCCTGTCCTTCATCTACATTTTCATCTTCGTGATTGGCATGATTGCCAACTCCGTGGTGGTCTGGGTGAACATCCAGGCCAAGACCACAGGCTATGACACACACTGCTACATCTTGAACCTGGCCATTGCAGACCTGTGGGTCGTCATCACCATCCCCGTCTGGGTGGTTAGTCTCGTGCAACATAACCAGTGGCCCATGGGTGAGCTTACGTGCAAGGTCACACACCTCATCTTCTCCATCAACCTTTTCGGGAGCATCTTCTTCCTCGCCTGCATGAGCGTGGACCGCTATCTCTCCATCACCTACTTCACTAGCACCTCTATCTATAAGAAGAAGATGGCACGCCGTTTTGTCTGTGTCTTGGTGTGGCTCTTGGCCTTCTTTGTGTCCCTGCCTGATACCTACTACCTGAAGACGGTCACATCTGCTTCGAACAATGAGACCTACTGCCGGTCCTTCTACCCCGAGCACAGCATCAAGGAGTGGCTTATAGGCATGGAGCTGGTCTCCGTCATCTTGGGTTTTGCTGTTCCCTTCACCATCATTGCTATTTTCTACTTCCTGCTCGCCAGAGCCATGTCAGCATCAGGTGACCAAGAGAAGCACAGCAGTCGGAAGATCATCTTCTCCTACGTGGTGGTCTTCCTGGTGTGTTGGTTGCCGTACCACGCTGTGGTTCTCCTGGACATCTTCTCCATCTTACACTACATCCCGTTCACCTGCCAGCTGGAGAACTTGCTCTTCACGGCGCTGCATGTCACGCAGTGCCTGTCCCTGGTGCACTGCTGCGTCAACCCGGTGCTCTACAGCTTCATCAACCGCAACTACAGGTACGAGTTGATGAAGGCCTTCATCTTCAAGTACTCAGCCAAGACGGGCCTCACCAAGCTCATCGACGCCTCCCGAGTGTCAGAGACTGAGTACTCGGCCCTGGAGCAGAACACCAAGTGATCGCTCTGTAGAGGTCTGGGGATGTCTGCGTGTGGCAAGTGGGAAGCTGGGCCCTGTGGTTTCTAGAAGAAAGCTATGTAGCTTTGGGTCCGGTTGCTTGGGTTTCATGAAGAGAAGAAGGTGCGTGACGACGCTTCCTGTCTCTCCTTCTCCAGGCAAGATGGCTGTCACCGGGACGCTCACCCTGACAGCTTGCAGCAGGTGGGGCTGTGCTGTGCAGCCAGAGCTGTGTATTAAAGCCAGCAGCAGCAGGATAGGCTCATGGACATCTGTACAATAGAACCTTCTGTGTCTCCTCAAGTTTTTACTTGGCGGCTTTTGTATTTAAGTTTTAAGACTCTATTTTCTCACTATGGATGTACCTTATAAATGTATTTGAAAGTTAAATATATTTTAAATATTGTATGGGAGGTGTTGTATTCAGACCACGTAGGCCTCAGATTAGCTGGACTTGAGTTTTGACTAAGGATGACATTAATTGTTAGCTGATTTGAAATTATATATATATATATGAATATATATGTATAAATTTATGCCAGCCTTGGCTGAAATGTTTTATTTACAATAGTTTTCTATCTGTGTGGTGTTTTGTGCCTGCACAGGATATGGAACAAAAACTGCCCCGCAGTGCAGTTTGTGACATGAACCGTATTGTAGAGTTATGTTTCTGGCTGCAAACCCGTGAACAAAGGGAACAGAGTGTTCTCTTTATTTGTAAGTTATTTTTTTAATAAAGATTTTTTGTTTCCTAAGACTGCATCTGGGTCTCTGTTTTGAAAGTGTGCTTGGGCTTTGGATGGCATGCCTGCTGCTAACGACTGGATGTGTGTGGAGACTGGATGTGTGTGGAGACTGGATGTATGTGGAGAGTGGGTGTGTGTGACCGCACACACAAGAACGATATTCAGTGAGAGAGAACGCCTTACAGTCCAACTGTGCGGCTCGGGGGCTGGATTGGTGTGAGGGCAGCATCTGGGCAGAGGGAGCACTATTGCTTCATTCCTGAAGGGCCTTTGTCAGGCAGTGATGAGTTTGGGGAGGATGAGGAAGGCAAGGGTGGGTGTGATTCCATGGCTGTTGGGTAGAACTTGCTGTAAAAGATAGGCTGCCCACTGTCCACTCCCCAGGAACTCTGGTCCTCATCTTAATGTCTGCCGTCGTCCACAGTCACATGTCCATTAAGACCACCCTGCTGAGGGCATAGGGTGTGGTGCTGTTTTTCCGTTCTTCCTACGGGATACAGCAGTGAGTTACGTGTGCTCTATGACTTGCCAATCACAAGCGTCTTTAAGTCCAGCACTCTGGAGGCAGAGGCAGGTGGATCTCTGTGAGGTCAAGGCCAGGGCCAACATGATCTATGTAGTGAGCTTCAGGTCTGTGTTGAAAATCTCTGCCTCAAAAAGGGGCTTTGGAAACCCCGCCCCCACCCTAAGAAATACAGGCTGGGTGAGTTCCTAGCCTGTGCATTAATTTACACTACAATGCATTTGCAAATGTTCTTTTGAAATGGGGGCTCCTGCCCTCACTGATTCTCCAGGAAGCTAAGGGAACACCAGAGGTGTCAGCAGGCCAGTGTTCTTGGCAGGAGCTCGAGATAGGCTGGCTGCCAAGACTGCCCTCACCTGCTCCAGCTCCAGAGGATGATCTGCATGGGGGCTGTGAACCCTTACACAGATTGATCAAAGTCAAAGGCGCTGATCTGGAAAGCCTGCGGCTGCCCTTCTATAGGAAAACCCCTGTGTACATGGGCTTTTCCCCCATTCACAGCCAGTAACCTTAGAGGTCCCCAGGGACATATGAACCGTGTCAGCTGCAAGGCATCTATATCCTGTGAAGGTCTTCATTCCTGGAAATTTTGCACGAGGGCTGTAACTTGTATTATGGCCTGCTGGATGCACACCTACAGTCTTCAGTGCTTGAACAGTTGGCCTTGATCCGAAGGATATTCTGCTTAGACAGCAATAAAATAGACAATTGAGATAATAGTCTAGCAATAGGTAAAAACCATGGAGAAAGGAGAGTAAGAAAAATGGCCATGTAAAGTCAGGGAAAACTACAGCCCAGTGTGGGTCCCTGATAATAAACAGGGACCTCAGATCTGTTCTGAGGTTTCAAGTAGTTCAGATAAGCAGAAACAAGCTCTCTGAAGACGTGAACTCAAGGGGAAGGGGGAGTGTGGAAGGAGGAGGGGTGGACTCGAACCAGAGTCTGCAGTTCAGCCTTGCACTCAGTGGAAATATTCAACATAACTCACCTGCAGCTGGAGCTGGAGCCCCATGTTGGCCAGTGAAGACCTGCCTTTCTCTAGAGCACTGGTTAAGTCATAGGTGGCTGTACCTTGCTGGGTTGGGCCAGGGTCCTTGATGGTCATTTGCCCATAATGGCGCCTGCTATGCCCTCTCTGCCTGATCCTCAGGCAGGTCTCCTGTGTCAGTCCTAGTCCAGTGGCTCCTGCTGCCATGTGGGACTCTGGGAGGATGCTGGTGAGACTACTTGCACTTTCTACTTTGTCATTACACGGTCACTGGGTAGACATCCAGCTGCCTCCTCCCCCTCTGAGATGAGGAGGGGACACAGAGAGACACAGAGAGAGGTTTGCCAGGCTGTGCCTTTGCACCTAGGGGGTTTCCTATACCACCCCCACAAGGTTCTTGACACACGTGTCAAGTCTGCTGTCTCCAGGGTGCAGGGGCTACCTCCATCTCAGAGATGACTCAGTGACAGAGCTCTCTGTATTTTATAACTCCCCTGTTTGTCCCCCTGAGGCTTCAAGACCTGGTGATGGATCCCTGCTCTTTGTACTCCAAGTCCCACCTTGGGCTCCTGCAGCCTCTCTCGTGAGACACTATGGGAGAATGCAGAATCGAGGGGTATAGAATGGGCTTGAGGAAGTGGCTCGTCCATTTACGCCGAAAGGGTATTCTGCTCCACTCTTCACAGTGTGAGCACAAAAGAGGCGGAAGGAAGATTATGTGAGCGGGTGAATATGGCACAGAACTCAGCAGGAAAAGGGAAAGCAAAAGACCTTAATTTCCCTCAAATCTAGCCACCAGAGGCCCAGGAATTTTGTCACTTGGTGGGCTGGCTAGTTTTAGGTGAACTTGACACAAGCTTGGAGTCATTTTGGAAGAAGAAACCTCATTTGAGGAAAATGACCTCATTGGATTAGCTTGTGGGCCAGCTGTAGTCCATGTTCCCAATTGATGGTTAATATGGGAGAGCCCAGTTCACCATGGGTGGTGCCATCCCTGGGCTGGCAGTCCTGGGTGCTATAAGAAAGCAGCAGGCTGAACAAGCCAGAGAGAACAAGCCGATAAGCAACGTTTCTCCAGGTTCCTGCCTTGAGTTCTTGTCCTGACTTCCCTCAGTGATGGGCTGTTGCCTGGAATCGTAAGCTGAAATACACCCTTTCTTCACAGCACTAGGACCCTCAGTATGACACTGGGAACCCACTCTTTTGGCTACCTTTGTGAAGGATAGATCTTTCAAAACATCAACCTCCAGCATCCCAATACGAATATGAAAGCCTAAGCAGTCGGTGGCCCTTATACTCGGATGTATTGGGTGTGCTCCAGCTATCAGAGGAAAAGGAGCTTTTGCTTCCCGAGTGCTCCTTCTCGGAGCCACACCTCTCGGCACCCTCCATCCTTGTGCTGGTGGGGCCATTGTTCCAGGGATGCCAGGCGGTGATTGTTAGTGGTCCCACTGCCGTGCAGATGTGCTCCACCTGGCTTGATGCATAAACCACTTACTCTGCATGTGGCTTGGGTTTTCTCGAAATGAGGAGTGATGGCTGTCAAAGACCTTAGCACCAAGGAACAAAACCCTAGCCACTATTCAATGCCTTCTGTCCTCTGAGGAGCCTCACGTAAGTGCCCATCCCAACAAACTGGGGAGACCTACCCCCCACACTTACGTTCACAACTGTCAGAGTCAAGAAGTGTGAAGTGTTTACACCTGAGTCTTCTTGGGGCCACTCCTGGAAGCAGCTGTCGGAGTCTGGTTTGTTTACTAGGACTGGGGAATTGTAACTTCTGGGCTTCTACCTGGGTGCACTCTGTCACTGTTCCTGAGACACCTGTCTAAGCCAAGCACAGAACTTGGGAGAAATGTAAAGATCTATGGACTTACATGAGCTGAAATGGGATAGGATGGGAGGATGGGGTGGGAACATCCATAGAGAGAGTGTCAAGGGGGCTCCCAGGTACCTGACAGGGGGGCTAGGGTCTCACTTCTGAATTCTGTATGACTGTGTGTGTGTGTGTGTGTGTGTGTATTTTAGTCCTTTCAGAGTGATGGGTTCAGGTGGGCCAAATACTTCAAAAGATCAGCTTTACACCTACAAAAGCCTTCCACTCCCTTATACCTGGATCTGCAAGCAAAATTTCTGTTTGGCTTTGGCGGGGTATCTTCCTGCAACACCATCAAGGGTCTTGATTCTGAGGATACCATACATACATGGTATAAGACAAGTCTGAGCAAGTTCTGATGGGAATTGACTTGCAGTGGTTTACTGTGTTGGGGGTAGCTGGGGAGGCCCGGCCATGGGTCTACCCTCTTAGTAGACCCTTCCTCTGGTTCTCACTCCCTCACATACTTGCATACATAATACCCACAGGTAGACGTGCCTGGATTCGTGACTGCTCTTGTAACCAACACACATGCAGGCAGGGTTTTCAATGTCATGTTTGGGATGAGTTGCGTGAGCCTTCTGGACATGATTTGAGGTTCCTCCTCTAGAAGGCACTGGTAGCTCCCATGGTGGGGGCAGGCCTGGGAGAAGAACAAAAGACCCGTCATTGTTCACCAAGTCGGGGACTGAGAGAGACTGTAACTTTGCTGAGCCTCAGTGGCATGGGATGCGATATGCCTTGTCCCAAAAGGTTGCCATGACGACCAAATTACAAGGCCCTTACAAAGGGCTCGTTACAAATACTCAGAAGACAGCCGCTGGTCCTTCTTCACTCTTTGGAAAATCTTCATATTTTTTTCCATAACAATAAGGTGTTCTAGAGAAAGAGGGCTTGGTGAGAGAACACTTGACTTTGAGGCTCGCTTGCCTTAGCGGTGTTTCTCTGCTGAGACCACAGTCCCATGACACACATGGCAATACACAGATAAAATTTGGGGGAGACTGGTGGGTGATGGGGAAACTGGCATCTAGCAGGTGGAGGATAAGACCACTGCTGAACAGCCCACGGTGCACAGTACCGCCCAATAACAATAAAGCATCAGGCTCTAGACACCAAGAGAGTGGTGAAGAGGAGGTCCTGGGTCTTGTGATGAGGAACCCTATCTAGCCACTAGGACTTGAGACTTCAGGATATCAATCCTTTCCTTAGCGGGACCTCTGACAATCCCAGGTCAGGGGAAAGCATCCAAAGGAAACCAGCAGAGTCACAAGTTGTCTTCTGACCCTCTCCCACACACAAATAAATAAATGTAAAAATAAGCAAATGAATACATAGCTCCAAAAAGAACATGGTCAGTGGACGGGGCCAACAGGACATTATCAGGCGGTGGTGAGGGATACCATGGCTTCTGACAGGTTTGGTGAGGTGCATATATTTCTTCTGGGAACCTCTTACCGCTGCTTCCCTTCCTGAGAGAAGGATTGACGTGCCTGAAACCCAGTCCACTTGTCAGTCAATCCAGCAGAATGTGTAGAGAGAGGGATGCATTTGGAAATCTGCGCAGGGCCACGCTAATGCTCTTAGAGACTTGCCAAGCCCCCACCCCTACCCCAGCGTGA